CACCTAACAGTCTTCCTAGTGAAAGCTGCCAGCTCCTTAGAATAGCTGCTGCCAGTGTGACAGGCAGGTCCTCTGCACATTCTACCTCAGAGGCTGTGAGGCTGTGCACAGAGCCAGCAGCTCCTCCTGGGGTAACCAGGAGGAAGAGAAAGAAGCTGAGGTTTAACCCCTCCTGAGTAGGCCAGCATCTAACAAACTGTTGTTTCCCTCCCAGGTATTCACAAGTGAAAACACAGAACTCTGAAGAGAAACTGCCAAGGACCTAACCTCCGTGTGCTCAGAGAAGTTTCTCAAGCAGAGAGCCAAGGGGTACAAGCCACATCCATTCCACAGCCTCAGGCAGTGTGAATATGTGCCCTCGGAGACCCGCCATTGCTGGAGTCTGCACCAGCCTGAGGGAGGAGGGCACCACACACAGGGAACATTTTACCAGAGGCTTGAGCAGTAACCCAAGCGGGGCTGTAATAAAATGTCAAGGAAAAGCTTCTTTAGTCACGCCCACACATTCAGAGGACATGCACCCAGCTAGCCACTCACTTGGCAAAGAGTTAAAACTGAAACATTTTTCAGACTACTAAATAAAGTGTGGTTTTGACTAACCACAGCGTCTTGCCCTGAACAGCCATTTTCCACTTAGACGGGGGTAATAGTTTCTGCCCAGGTTCAGATGGCTTTAGTCACACCCCTGACCCCAGGTCACCAGCGTCCTGCCCAGAATGCTCTTCTGAGTGCCTACCCATCCTGGTGCATTCCTACAGCAGCAAATACTGTGGGAAAGGGCAGTCCTCCGGAGCGGTGTCATCTCTGAAGTCTGGTGCCCTGCGAATGAGGGTATGAACCAGACAGATGCAGCTATGGAAGACGGGGAGGGGTGGAGGGGAGTGGGGTGAGGTGGGGTGGGGGCATGGACAGGAATGGCATTAAGTGCAGGGTCAGAAGTCCCAGGCCAAGTGCTGTCATTTGCTGTCAGAACTTTTGTGAAGACATAGTGGCCCTGGAGCCCTGTCACCTGCTCTGCCTTTATTCTTGCTCATCCACTCCCCGCCCCCCCCACCCTATCCCCGTACACACCTTTGGTCTTCTGAAACAGAGTCTCATGTAGCCCAGGTTGGCTCGTATCCTCCTGCCCCTGCCTCCACATGCTAAGATGACAAGTGTGTGCTGCCAACCTACCTTTGTTCTCAGTACGGTTGACAGGTCACACCAGTCATTTCTAGGCATGCAGTGAGAGCCTCCCGTGTGCTAAGTACAGAGTCCCAACACAAGCTGTGAGGATGCTGAGCAAACCTGGCCAGGGCTGAGACGCTTTAGAGGAGAATGCACAATGAATGAACACCGGTGAGAAATTATTCAAGGTCAAACTTGAGAGATGGGAGTCCGGCCCTGTCAAGCCCTGGATCGGACTACAGAGGGAACCTCGGTTATCCAGGTCCTCTGGTAGGAACCTCAGTTATCCAGATCCTCTCTGGTTGCAGGCAGGGAATGGATGAGATGAAGAAATAGAGGGTTACTCTGGCAGGCAGCCAGTTCATAGAACTGCTGGAAGAACAGCTAGGCACAGGAAAGACAAGACCAACCAGCCTAGGGAATCCACAGAGGAGGAGAGAACTGCCCAGCCTCAGCTACAGCTACAGCCTGCCTGGCCGCCATGTCCTCTCCAGATCGATGAACACTGGAGAAAGCCGGCTTGTTCCTTTTGCACAGTGTGCCTACCCTACATCAGGGACGTGGGAATGGTGCCTGCCACTGCTGGGGCAGGGGACAACATGACATGATGTCTATATTGACAGGAAGGTGGTGGGTTGAGGGCAAGAAGGGCCTTTGATAGTCATTACAAACCACCATAATTTTTACTGTTACAAGGGTCATTCAGTGGGTGTGTACATGGGTGGAGACTCATCCAACTGTACAGTACTATGATGGACTGTTTATTGTACACCAACTATGTCCTGAGCTATAAACACTAACTCTAGAGAGCCCACAGTCCCCTAACGCAGGACACACAGAATTTGAGGCACATACAGGATTTTCCAGTAAGTGCGTCCACACAGGAGCTGGGGTTCCGTGTTTATATCTGGAGTAATCTTTGCATTCTATGTCTGTGTTTAGTATACAGTCCAGCGCAGGGAGAGGCTGATAACTGAGTTATTTTTTCATCCATCAAGAAAATGCTTCCTTGATCAATACATCGCAAACCCTTTGATACACAGGAAGCACTGGGTGCAGATGAGCCAGCCTCTCACCAGCAGATGCCTCTGCAAGGCGAGTGGACAGTCTTTCCTGGCCCTGTGATGAATGTGTAGGTGCACACATAGTGGACCCCAGGATAAGCAAGCAAGCACAGGCTGTGATGGAGGATCCACACAGGGCACAGTTTCCTGGACCCAAATCCTTAGGAGTCTTTTTTTTTTTTTTTTTTTTTTTCTGAAATCAAGCCCTTCTATTCTTGTTTTGAAAGAATGTCCTTCATAGGCTCGCTCTATATAGGAGGGTACTTCCTGAGAGATTTTCAAATAACCACTGCTGCCCACTTGTTGTAGCTCTCCCACAAGGCATCCCCCCACCCCCACCCCACAGTCAGGATCACTGCACTGGGCTCACTAGGGGGTCGTGGAAGGGTAAGAAGAGGCTGCACCAGCACTTGAGTTGGTAGCATGCTTGTCTAGCATCCTTGAAGCCCTGGATTTGATTCTCCAGCACCACATAAACCAGACAGGGCACACAGCTTCAAGATCAGTCCCCGGACGTGAGCTGGAAGGATCAGAACTTCAAGGTCGTCCTTTGCTATGTGATACATAGGAAGTTTTGAGGCCACCTCGGAATACATGAGGTGCTGTCTTAAAAAAAAAAAATCTGGAGAAACCCAGTTCAAGCCTTTTTGGTTATGGGGTTTGCTTTGTCTTTGTCTTCTTGTTTCTCTTCCCCCCATAAAATGGGAACTCTGGGGGAGTCGGCCAAGTTGTAGGACTTTCAGTCTGATGGGAGGGAAGCATCAGAAATTGCTACAAACAGAGGCACAGCGGGGGATGTTCTCAGCTGTGAGCAAGGTACTTTACTCCCGCCCTGCTCAAGCATCCAAGGGGGAGGGAAAGGGCCCACATGCTTGGCTATGGCAGACAGTCTCAGCCGGGAACTGAACTGTTTACCCAGACATAGTCCAGGAAAAAAGGAAGGGCACGGAAGATTGCCACTCCAGTAGGAAGCCAATAAAGCCAGGCAAAGATAAATGTCACCTGTCTGCTGTCCGCCCTGAGGTCCCTAGAGGTCTGTTGACAAAAGGATGGCTGCTCCAGTTTCTGAGGCTTACCTTTCACCCTTGGAGAACACTGGCCGCCCACGAGAGGCTGTGTTCGTCGTCAATGCCGTCTGACACATCCTCCAGTCTCTGTCCCCAGACTCTGAAGGACAGTGTTGACAGTCTGTGTAAGAGTATAGGCTAGCCGGGCAGAGGTGGCGCACGCCTTTAATCCCAGCACTTGGGAGGCAGAGGCAGGCGGATTTCTGTGTTGGAGGCCATCCTGGTCTACAGAGTGAGTTCCAGGACAGCCAGGGCTACACAGAGAAACCCTGTCTCGAAAAAACAAACAAACAAGAGTATAGGCTGGGTGTGATGTACCCGAGGCCAGCCTGCACTGCAGAGAACACCAGTTTTGACGAATCGGGTAGGTTAGAGAACGCAGTACACAACTACTTGCCAAACTCCTCACCGTATGCCAAATCTGGTGCTCAGCGCGTGAATAGTGAATCCTTTTTATTTCTCCTGCAGCCTTATGGTTTTTAGTGTGTTTAATGCCTATGGGTAAATCATGTATCAGCTAACCTTTGAGAAATATTTATTATGAACTACGCAGAGAGACTCTGTCTCCCCCTTCATAAAAAGACAACAAAAGAAAATATTATTTGTGTGTGCTTACAGTGTGTGTGTGTGTGCATGCGCACACGTGCATGAAGGCACACACATGTCATAACATGCACGTGGAAATTAGAGGATACCTAGATGGTTCTGCCGTTCCATCTTCACGCAGTTTCTACAATTGAACCCCACAGTCAGGCTTACAAGGCAAGTGTCTTCACTGGCTGAGCCATCCCATCAGCCCCAGCACTTAGTTTTGAGTGTGCCTGCCGGTGTGGTGGAGGCCAGAAGAGGGCATCAAGAGCCCCTGAATCACAGGAGGTTGTGAACCGCTGGGACTCTTTCTCCAGCTACCCCTCTTCCCCAAAGCAAGCTTTTAAGGGTTATATTTTAGAGAGAAAAAGACACTTATGAAAGCCAGGTGTGGTTGGTCAGGTCCGATCCTTAGTAAGTAGCCAAGATAACAACGCTGGCCAGTGTTTTTTGAGCACATATCATGTGCCAGGTGAGGTTCTAGGCAACTCATTGGAGCGCCACAGTAACACTCTGAATTCACACACCTCTGCCCAGACAATCAGAAGTAACTTGTATTAGCTTACACCGCGGAGCCAACTCCAGAGCCGGTATTATATAGAATTACATCCTCTTAGTCACTGAGTTCCTCTAGTTAATTTGGGAGCATTTCCTGTCACTGGCGTGAGTCAAACGACAACGAGACCACAGCACTGATGAATATTTAAATCAAGGCGCTTGCCCCGGGCTAGGACTAGGGTTGTAAAACGGCTTTACAGGAATTGCCACTTTCAGTCCCCATTTTAGGGATGAGGAAACCGACTACTGAGGTGTTCAGGAATGTGCCCACGGCCACCCAGCTGGCAAGCAGTTGCGCTGGGGCTTTTAATCCTAAACAGCCCACAGCCACACCTCCTACCCTCTCCACACTCCACCGCCTCCCGGGAAGGTCGCACGCGGAAGGTCCAGGTGGCCCCGGGAAGGGCTCGGCTAAGTCGCCCCGCAGCCGCGGACTCCAGCCGGCCCGCGCGTGTTTGCGCTCCCGCGGGCCGCGCCCCTCGCTCGCCCCACCGCGGGCGCTGCCGACCCCCGCCGAGCCCGGCACGGGGGCGGAGCGGCTCGGGACAGTGGCCTTTCCTCCCAGGGGAACCTGCTAAGGGCGGCCCCGCGCTCCTTCCTGTCCCTCCCACCGCGGCCCGGGCTCGGCGGCCGCTCGACGCGGGGTCCCGGGCGCGGCCCGGGCGACTCTCGGCCGCTCCCACCCCGGCGAGTTCAAAAGGACGCGCGGCGCCCGGCCCTGCCCGCCCGTCGGACTGGAAAGGTGAGCGCGCCGCGCGGGAGCCCGGAGGCCGCACTCGGCCGCCGCGCGCCTGCGACCGGACCTGGGCGGGTACCGCGCGGCTGCGGGGACCCTCGACGGCCGGGGCGCGCGGGGTCCCCGGGGAGCGGGGCGGACCCAGCAGAAGGCTCGGCGGGGCTCCTGGCCCTGGAAGCCCAGGTAATGCAGGTGGCCGCGGGACCTGGATCGCGCATGGGCGCAACCGGGCCCACCCTTACTTAACTTTCCCAGGCCTGGGGAAAGGGTCGCCAACGCCACCCGTCCCCGGTACCCCGCGACCAGGGCGGGCTTTTGGGGAGAGATTTGTTTATGGAAGCTGATTAGAACCGAAAGGAAGAGAGGGGATATATCCAGGGGAAGGGACGGGGTGGGGGGTGGGGGGAACCTGGCGCCCGACGCTCTCCTGGGATCTCCAGGCCCTGCAACCTTAGGAGCCCGGCCACCTCATCCTTGCCTGTCCTTCCCACAGATCTGACCTTACGAGGTAGTCTGCCCTCAGCAAGGATGAACAACCTACCGGCCACACCTTCTCCTGAAGGTAGGTGATGGAAGTCACGGAGTAGGAGAACTGTTGGAGAATCCCCATCCCACCCCTGAATCAGCCTTTGAATTCCGTGAGGTCTCACTCAGTGTAGACTGGAAGACTCACCCATACCCACCCCACTCCTACCAAACCCCCGCCGCCCGGCCTCATTCAGGAAAAGGCTCCGAGGAAACAGAATTCAACTTCAGTGTGCCCTTTTAGCGCAGTTTTATTCTCAAGTCTGGACCGGGCCAGTTCCAGGCACTGAGAGTCACCTGGGCTTAGGAAGTTCTCTTATGCCCAAAGGAGCCATTTTAACGTTCACTCCAGTAGTTAAGTAGAGGAGAAAGGGAATCTTCTGAAGATAACCGGGAGGGCTCGGGATGCAGCTTAATTGGTAGAGTGCTTGCCAAGCACGGGTTCAGTCCGCTAAAGTACGGAGTGGATCCTGCAAGACGAAACCCATTTTGGTGGCCTGTGCCGGCAGTCCCTTCTCCCTGCAACTTGGGAGGTAGAGGCAGGAGTGCCAGAAATTCAAGGTTATCCTCAGCTAAATAGTGAATTCAAGTCTAGCCTGGGCTACATAAGATCCTGTCAGAAAGAGAGCTGTGGGGTGTGTTTAAAGATTCTAGAAGCCAGGTTGTGGTGGTGGTGGGCAGGGATCTTAGGTGGTGAATTGAGTCTTACCTTTCATTTCCTAATCAGGCTAGGTCTGGCTCGCTGACAGATATTTACATATTAATTGGTTTCACCTAGTGCCAGCCTTGGGTGTGGGAGGAACAAACCTGTGATCTATAGGCCTGTGTTTTCTTAGGTATAGACTCCGGTTTTTTCCCATGAGAACAAACGTTCACTTTGAGTGCCACTGTTTTTGCTGATATGAAGTCCGGGGAGGGAGAACCCCAGGATAGGCAAATCTGAGGCAGTTTCTCCTGAAACTAGTGGGGCACGTGATTTAGACTTGTAGTTGGTGAGAAGTGGAGAAATGGCGGACAGACCTGCAGACCGGTGGGCAAAGGCTCCCGAGTGGGGAGGCGAGCTTTGCAACAAAGTCTCTGGATGAGTTAGGCTCAGTATTTACTCTTTTGTGTCTGGTTATTTTATCTAGAGCAGTGCTTCAAGGGTCACCCATGTCAGAATTTCCTTCGTTTTAAGTCTAATATTCCATACATTTGTTTAGCACACATAAGTCACTATCTGGTTGCCATTTGCTTTTGCTTTCAATCCTGTTGGATACACATCCAGAAGTGGAATTGTTGTTGTTATGGCAATTGATACATTTTTAAAGAACCACGATAGAGTTTTTCATAGTAGCTGTGTTATTTATGCCCCCCCCCCCCAGCAACACAAAGGTGCTGATTTCTTCACATCCTCTCCAACACGTGTTATTCGGGCCGGTGTGATACTACTGCCTTAGTGGGTAGGAGATAGTGTCTGGTTGTGACTTTGTTTCCCTAGTGACCAGTGATGCTCACACACGTTCTTATATGCTTATTAGTCAGCTGGGCATCTGGAGAAAAGTGTCTTGTTCAAGACTATGTCCATTTCTTAAACATGTATTTGTTCATGTTGTACACGTGGGTGTCTGTTCTCTCCTTCCACCACTTGGTTTCTGGGGATCTAACTCAGGGGTCAGGTTTGGCAGCAGGTGCCTTCACCTGCCGGCCAACTCCCTGACTCCTTGCATGGTTTTGAATCATAACTGTTATGTTGTTGTGTGTTCTCCGCCCAACAAGTGGCCTGAGTTGGGGAGGAATTCTAGGATGTAGCTTACAGTTTCCTGCCCACTAGGTCTGAGCAAACATATATCCAAGCACAAGAGAGACCGCTGGTGATCATCCAGGAATCCGCACAGGATGGGGTGCAGAGCCTAGCTCCTGGGCACCCAGTTTGTACTTCTCCACCTTCCTGCTATATTCCCTTCAAATCCTTCCTCCACAGTCAGGATCCCCTAGTTCAGGCGTGTTGGATCACATGACCATTGGGTTCTCAGGCTTTTCATACCTTTGTCTTGGGCTCTTCACCTTTTTTTTTGGGGGGGGGGGTTGGGGGTCTTTTTGTTGTTGTTTTTTAATTTTTTTGTTTTGGTTTGGTTTTTCGAGACAGGGTTTCTCTGTGCAGCCCTGGCTGTCCTGGAACTCTGTAGACCAGGCTGGCCTCGAACTCAGAAATTCTCCTGCCTCTGCCTCCCAAGTGCTAAGATTAAAGGTGTGTGCCACCATTGCCTGGCTTTTTTTTTTATTAACAGTTTAAAATGTGGTTTTCAATGTCGCCAAGATAAGATCTTATAATGATGTCTATATTAATGAGTATTTATACAGCCAGGGCTACACAGAGAAACCCTATCTCGAAAAAACAAACAAACAAAAAAGAGTACTTACAGATGAAGATATTATAATGAATAATTAATTGGCTGATATGGCAATCTTAGTATTATTTTATCTAAAAGCTCATTACCTTGACTTTAAAGGAAACTTAAGTCATTAAAATAAAATCATTAAAAGACATTTTCATAGGCCCCTGAGATTACTGTGGACCAAGCTGCTGGCCATGTGCGGTCAGTCAAAATAGAACTCGGTCTCAGGAGCTCTGGCCACCCCACCAGGTAAAGCCATGCTTCCCCAGCATCCCTCACCCACTCAGCACTTTCCACTGACCTATTTTCTCACCACACCGAGAAGGTTTTATTCTCATTTTCTTGAAACAAAATCTGAGTTTGAGGGAGTTAAGAAATTTTCAGTGATTTTAAAAAAAAAGAAAAATAAAAAAAGAAAAGAAAAAAAGAAAATTTCCCATCATGCCGCTGATCAGAGCAGAAGAAGCAGGGCCTGTGCCCAGCGCTAGCGATTCCCAAGGCGTGTTCTTTCTGTCATGGTCTGCTGCTCCCGAGGTCTTCTTCACCCAGCCGCGCGCCCGTCCATCACTGCAGAAAGGGGCGGGATTCCAGTGCGCACGCTCCTGGGGACGGAGGGCTGTGGGCGTGGCCCTGTCAGGCAGGTCTAAAGCAAATAAGCAGGTTGGCAGCTTTAGGTGGCAACTGATCTGATACCTCCTCCCGATAAGAGAACTGGAGACAGGAGGCACAAAGGAATCGGCTTGTATCTGGGTCAACACAAAGAAAGCTGTGTGAGGGATCTGAAGGCCCCTGGCAGTTAGGATCTGGGCGGAGCCTTTAAGCTGTGGCCCTCTGCCCTGGCCACCTACCCACTCCGAAGCTCAGAAGCAAGCTTCTTTCTTTGGGAAAACTGGCAGGAACTGGGAATCAAAGTTAGGCCCTTCCACAAGCGACCCCCACAAGCACTGGTACATCTGCAGCCCAGATTCCTCCTTTTGGTGCCAGGGTTCCTGGATTCGGATTGCGTTGTTGTTGTTGTGGTTGTGGTTGTTGTGGTGCTTTCCTCTTGAAAGCCATAAGTAGTGATTGTGGTGGAGCATGCCTGTAACCAGCACTCAGGAAGCTATGGACCTGGTGTGGTTTGCTGTAGAGATTCAAAAGCCACTAAGGTCAACAGAGCACCTAAGGTCAAAGGTCAAACCACCTTGTCGGAAACCTCACCGTCACCTCCAACCTTTGAGTCTCCTTAAGTCCCCTGCTCATCCTCACTCTCAAGGACCATCTTGAGCATATCAGCTTTTCCCAGAAAAGGGCTGCAGAGGACTCCACCTCCACTGTCTCCCTGTTTCCTGCTGAGGGTCTCTACTTCCACCATTTCACTTCCGGCTGAAGGCTCCGCCTCCACGTCTCGTTTCCTGCCGGCGGTGCCCACCACACCCACATCCCGGTTCTCTGCTTCCTGGAATAGTGGATCAGCTGGCTGCAGCCCTCTGTTGCTGTGTTAGATCCCATCCCTTCAGGGACATGGCGTCAGGCACCCTATCAGTTGTTTGCTCTGTCTGAGTCATTCGGGAGTTCTGCTGGCATTTCCCCATCCTCCCTTCAGGCTCCAGCAAGCAGCAGCCTCATCCCTTACCTTGACAGAAAAACTCCATATGAGTATACCTTGAGCTAGGTGTGGTGATGCATGCCTTTAAATCCAGCAATTGGGAGACAGAGACAGGCAGATCTCCAGGAGTTTGAAGCTAGCCAGGGCTACATAGTCAAATGTCTCAGAAAATACACACACACACACACACAGACACGGGGTGGGAGTTGGAATGGTGTGCATGAACAATTAAGCTCAGGTCCCCAGTACTCACAGAAAAAGCCAGAACCAGTAAGGTAAGCAAAGCAGGCCTGTCATCTCAGTGTTGGGGAGGTGGGAGTAGGATCCCTGGGCCTTGCTCCCCAGTGAGTCTAGCTGAATTTGTAAGATCAGGTTCAGTGAGACACCATTCTCAAAAGGTAAGGTGAAAGCCGGGCAGTGGTGGCGCACCCTTTTAATCCCAGCACTCGGGAGGCAGAGGCAAGTGGAACTCCGAGTTTGAGGCCAGCCTGGTCTACAGAGTGAGTTCCAGGACAGACAGGGCTACACAGAGAAACCCTGTCTTGAAAAGCAAAAACAAAAAAAGAAGTAATTATGTACCTGACTGACACTGGGCTTTGGCTCACGTGTATGCTTGAGTATACACAGACAGACAGACAGACAGACAGAGCTTACTTACATTCAGCCTCCTCCAGTTCCTCCTTCCATTTTTTTCTGGAACCTACCCTAAACCGCAGCTTTGCACTCAACTCTAAACCAGAACTTGTCTTGTGAAGGTCATTTTGGGTCCCATGGTAAATGCCACAAAAGTCCAGGTGCTTGATCGATTTTGGCTGCTGTGTGTACTGACCTACCAACCTAGGGTTCGGGTCACTCAGGGTTAAGGTTAGGGTGATCTTCCCCAGCCTCCTGTTATGAGTATGCTAATGACTTTTTACATTTTATGGCTGCTTTCTTACACTGCTGGCAATCGGAGGACCATGCACATGATAGACAGGCTAACCCTCTACCGCTCAGCCGTATCCCAACCCACCTTCTCTCCTTTCTTAATATCTGGCCCAGATTTATTCTTGACTTCCTGTATATCTGATAGGCAGCCGTGCCCCGTCCCCACTCAGTTCCTCCCGAGGGCTTCCCCAGACCAGGTAAGAGCAAACCTCTCCTCTCCAGTTACTCAGGCCACACGTGTGTGACTCCACCCCACATCCTGTCCAGGTCTTTGCTTCAAAACAGATCTGTCCACTTTCTCACTGGGCTGCTGCTGTACCCAAGGCTTCGAGGTGAATGGAGAAAGGCTCCCGTGTGGGTGTTCAGGGTTTGTCAGCCTCTACCTTTTCACTTTCAGCCCGTTGTCCGAGCCCCAGAGGGATCCCTTAAAGTCAGTCAATCTGTTTCAGTTATGGCTTGCCACATAGCCAGCAACCCAAACTTCATGTCTGTAAAACTGCAGCAGCCACCTGGTGTTGGAAAGAGTTTGGCTGAGCACCTGCTGCCTGGCGTAAAGCGCCTTCACTTGACATGCGCACAAACCCAGCTTCAGCTGCCAGCCCAGCAAAACAAATCCAAACAGGTAATCATTTCTGACAGCTCTTGTGATGGTGTGTCCCGCACTCATGCATGGAACTGTGGTGGCCGGGCAAGCCCACAGTGCCCTCCCAGGGCCTGGCATTTTCAGCTGAGCCTGGAAACTTGCTTGCCTTCCACATATAGTCATCCTCCTGTAAACTAGATGGAGCCTCTTCAGGATAGTGGTCTCAGGATTTCAATTGTGATATTTGGAATTCCAGGGTCCCCTGTTCCCGTCTGCTGAATCAATGTTTGCATTTTTTTAAAAAAAGGCATTGTTTTCATTTTTATGTTATGTATATGAATGTTTTGCCTGCATATGCCATCTGTATGTCACATGGCATGCAGCGTCTGCAGAATTTAGAAAAGGCTATCAGATCCCCCAGGAACTGGAGTTCTAGAACGTTCCGTGTAGGTGCTGGGAATCGAACCTAGGTCCTCTGGAAGAGCAGTCAGTGCTGCAACAGCTGATGCATCTCCAGACCTCCATAGTGTGCATTTTAACAAGATCTCTAGGAGACTGTTAACAACACTGAGGAAATATGGCTTTGTAATGAGCCCATGGCATCTCACAGACAGCAGCAGCCATATTGCAGCTACAGGCCCATGTGCTGTCAGCCTGTGGCTCCATCTCCCTTTCCCTCCCTCCAAGTTGCCTCCACATGGCACCTCTGACATGCACACTCCAGCCCAGGTGCCTTCCGTCATTACCTTGACCTTGCAGTCCCCGCTGTTCGCATGGCTGCCTCCCTCACAACCTTCCAGGGCTGTATTCAGGGCGCCTCTCAGGAATTTTCTCTGACTATCTTATTTAAAATTGCAGCACCTTCCCACATCCTACCACCTGCCCCTTGCTTGTTTTTCCGTATATCTTGAACCAGCAACCACTATGGTACTCCTCTTCCTCCTCTCTTTAGCGTATTTTCTGTCTTTTCTCAGTCACCTCAACTCGCCTGTTCTGAGCAGAGCCTAGCTTCCCTCCGTGGCCTTTCCTCCATGGTCTTCCCTCTGTGGTCTTTCCTCCATGGTCTTCTTTCTCTCCATGGTCTTCTTCCCTCTGTGGCCTTCCCTCCGTGGCCTTCCCTCCATGGCCTTCCCTCCGTGGCCTTCCCTCTGTGGTCTTTCCTCCGTGGCCTTCCCTCCGTGGTCTTCCCTCTGTGGTCTTCCCTCCGTGGTCTTCTTTCTCTCCATGGTCTTCCCTCCGTGGCCTTCCCTCTGTGGCCTTCTCTCCGTGGTTTATACTCATAGGTGCGCGGGGCTGCCTCTCAGAACATGACCTGTACAGGTTGTGCTGGCAGAAGAATCAAAGTTTCAAACCAGCCTGGGCCATACATCTGTTTTTAAGTGAGGGAAGGGGACTGGGGGGGATGGATCAGTGGTTGTGAGAGGGGATGCCTTTCTAAAGGACCTGGGTTCAATTCTCAGAGCCCACATGGCGGCTCACAACTTCTCTAACCCTAGTTTCCGGAGATCCGTGGGCACCAGGCATGCACATAGCGTGCAGATACACATGCAGACAAGGCATAACACATTAACACAAAAAACATATTTTTTTCAAGAGAGAGTTTTAAAATTGTGATAACATCATAAAATGTATGTTGCTGGGAACTGTACACAGAGTCAAGTCCTTCTAGATGTACCGTCTGTGCTACTTGAGGACATTTACTGCATTTACCAGTGTCCCAAACTGAAACTCTACCTGTGAAATGTACTGTCTCTCTGCCTCTTGAATTTGATTATTCTAGGTCATCAATAATCAATATAAATGCCACCATACAATACTTGTCTCAATACGATAAAATCTCAGTGTGCAACTCTGGCTGCTCTGGACTCTCTGGGTCGATCAGGCTGCCCTGGACTCGGGGTAGACCAGGCTGGCCTCCATCTCTGAGATCCCTCTGTCTCCTGGGGCTGGGATTAAAATCTGTGCACTACCACACCTAGCCAGTTTTTGGCCTTTGTGCCTGCTTCATTTACCTCTGCCACATGGTCCTTTGGGATCATCTGTGTTGTCCCACACATTAGAATTTCCTCCCCCGCCACTTTATTTTTGTCTTATGTATATGTGTGCCTTTGGAAGCCAGAACTAGAGTTACAGGTGTGTTTGTGAGTCGCCATGTAAGTGCTGGGAGCTAAACCCTGGTCCTCTGCGAGAGCAGCCAATGCTCTTAAAACACCAAGCCTTCTTTCCCTCCAGCTCCCCCTTCACATTTTTAAAGCAGAATAAAACTCCAGACATGCCTTCGCTGTGTTTTGTTTGCCCACTTACCTGCTGATGGGCAATGAGACGCTTCATACTGGAATTCGGAAACAGCACTTCTGTGAGCTTCCGGTGACATCATTCCACTTGTTTCCTGGGTATATACTCAGAAACAGACTGTGTGCAGGAGCTCTTTTAGGAGATTTGTGAAGTGCTTTGGAGGGGTTTTATTGTTATTTGATTTGGTTTTGGGTTTTTTTTTTTTTTTGAAACAGGGTTTTGCTGTGTATATCCCAGGCTGGATTGAACTCTCAGTGTTCCTGCCTCAGTTTTCTGAGTACTGGGACTTCAGTGGGTTCATTTTATTTTTGAAAATTTAAATTGTGCGTGCATGAGTGTGGGGGGGGGCTTGGCACACACTTGTAGAGGTCAAAGGACAACTTGATGGAGTCAATTCTCTCCTGCCTTTTTATCTGTGTACCAAGATCAAACTTTGGTTGTGAGATTTAGATCACTGAGCAGCAAGCCCCTTCACCCACCAAGCCATCTCACTGGCCCCTCAGTGCATTTATAGGCTAGGTAATTTATGGGCCAGGTAAATTTGCCTGGTTTGTTCATTGATCCATGGCCAGAACCTAGCACAGAGTACTTACTCAATCACTGACTGAATTTACTTTTAAAATCTGAGACAGGGTCTCACTATGTAGCTCTGTCACCTCCTAGATTTTGGGATTAAAGACATGCACCACTACTCCTGGCTACTAACATTTTTAGGCATTGAGATGGAGCCTCCCTGTGGAGCCTCGGCTGGCCTTGAACTTACGGCCACCCTCCCTCCTCAGCCTGGATTATAAGTGTGCCTCACTGCTCCTGACTTAATTTTTTATTTAAGCTTAGAATCAGAATCTAGGAAGTGTAGTAGCTTCATCACTGGGCTCCCGCCCTGACTCATAGTGTTCGAAAGTTCCCAAAGCTAGCCTCCCTAACTTGACCTTTCCGGCTGCACAGGCCTGGACCCGGGAGGGCTCCCTTGCTGGTTCTGTAAGTGCCTCTGGGATCCTTTTGTATCTGTACTTCCTGGGCCATTTCCCTTCTCTTCTTCCTGATTTGGAGACAAGGTCTCATTATGTAGCCCACACTGGCCTCAAACCATCTCACAATTCTCCTCCCAATGGCTGGAATTACTGTCCTGCGTGCCACCACGCCCAGCTCAGCTTCTCTTCTCTTGGGCCCACTTCCTCATGTCCTCATGATTCCTGCTGCTCCCTACTGAAAAAAAAAGAATCTCTATTTGGAGACAGAGACAGACACACCCCCGGGATCTTACTTTCCCTCTCTAACCTGACACTTTCAAGTCCACACCTCAAGCCCCGTGTTCCTTCCTTTCCCTTTCCCAAATATAACATTTTGTAAATTGTCCTGGTAATTTGTCGGCTACCCAGAGCTTCCTGACAGTGTTCAAGGCAGCTTCTAACCTGGGCATTTCTGCTAGAAAGCTTGGTGTGCATTTTTTTTTTTTTTTTTTTTTTTTTTTTTTTTGTAAATGACTCATGTTTTGAAATCACACTGAAAATGAGAGGACTTACAGGAAAAGCAGGAATGGGCAGACCATACTACAGGAGCGAGGGCAGACCAGGAACACTTCTGGACCTTTATAATCAGACTCCACATAAACACAGTAACAACCTCCATAAAAAATGTTGACTAGCGTCTGAACCCTGAGTCTGGTTAAGTGGGCGGGTCCCAGGTGGGCGAGTACACCCTTTACTGTTCTTTGTTTTTGTTTTGTTGTTTATTTATTTGAGACAGCTCTATTTAGCCTTGGCTCTGTGGATTAGGCCTTGAGCTCGAGGGATCCTCCTGCCTCTGCCCCTCTTAAAGGTACGAGCTATCTTGCTCTGCCTGTTCATCTTTTTTTTTAAAGTTTTATTTATTTATTTTATTTATACGAGTACACTGTAGCTGTCTTCAGACACACCAGAAGAGGGCATCAGATCCCATCACAGATGCTTGTGAGCCACCATGTGGTTGCTGGGAATTGAACTCAGAACCTCTGGAAGAGCAGCCAGTGTTGGTAACTGCTGAGCCATATCTCCAGCCCCTGCCTGTTCATCAGAACAAAGTCTGTCAGTCATGGTGGCTCACACCTTTAATCCTAGCACTTCAGGAGGGATTCTGAGTTTGAGGCCTGCCACAACTACATAGTGAGACCCTGTCTCTAAGTAAATACATTTTTAACAAAAAAAAAAATCAATTTAAGCTGGGCGTGGTGACACATATCCTTTATTCTCAGTACCTGGAGGCAGAGGCAGGAGGATCTCTAAGAGTTTGAGGCCAGCCTGGTCTACAGAGTGAGTTCCAGGAAGCCAGGGCTATACCGAGAAATACCGTTTTGAAAAATAAAAACAAAAAATTTAAAAACCTATGGCTGGGCACAGATTCCTCGAGTTGGCAGAGTTTGGTACCTGGCACGCACAAAGCCCTGGATTTGATCCTAACTACTTAAAACCAGCGTGCGGTGCATACGTGCAATCACAGCCTTCCAGACTCGGAGGCCGGAGAGTCACAAGTTCAAGGTCATTGTTGGCTAGAGAACTCGTCTGAAAACCTTTACAAGGTTCCAGGGTTTGAACTCGGGTCACCAGGCTTGCACAGCAAGTGCCTGCTCCTGCTAAACCATCTTGCTGGCCCTCATAATTTAAGTAACACTACTAACATTTGTCGTTTTTATGTGTGTGCACTGTGTCTATAGAGGCTAGAGTAATGTATTGGATCCTCTGGGATTAGAGTTACAGGAAACTGTGAGCCATCCGATGTGGGTGTCGGTAACCAAAGCCAGTCCTCTGTATGAATAGCATTTCTAAACACACATACACATACATACACATATATGTGTACTCACGCATGCATCTCCCCATACACACCACACACACACACACACTCACTCTCATACACCACATACTCATACACACATATACCATACTACTTTCCCATCTCATATATACATCCCCACACACTCACACATGCACCCTCACACATACATGTCCCCATACTCACACACATACACACTACATACATACTCTCATACACGACACACACACACACCACACTCTCACACACACAGTCACACACACCACACGTACACCACACTCACACACATCACACACAGCACACATACCCCCTACAAATGAGCTACACCCTAACTCTTTAGGCGTGCTCTCCCATTATTTACACACTAGCCCTGCAATGTTGGTTTAATAATTCACATGAAAAGCAGGTGTGAATGGGCCATCGGGGTGACCGAGCATTACTGCCTAGTGACCTGAGCTCAGTCTCCTGGAGCCCTGCGGTAGGAGATCCAGCTCACTCAAGTTATTATAGCTTGACCTCATAAATCAGCCCCAGCTGATTGGATCAGAGACAGAGGCAGGTGGATCTCTGTGAATTCAAGGTCAGCCTGGTCCACAGAGTGAGCTCCAGGACAGCCAGGGCTTTGCAGAGAGACCCCATCTCACCCCATCGCACCCCCACCCCAAAATAAAGAAGAATTGGGCTGGCCTTGAGCCTGGAAAGCATTCCTGACAGCCCATCTCTGCTTTTTCTGTTATGGGAACAAGGGCAATTCATGAGGTTCTTGTTGTTCTCTGTGAAAAAGACAGGCCCAGCCGGGCAGTGGTGGCGCACACCTTTAATCCCAGCACTTGGGAGGCAGAGGCAGGTGGATTTCTGAGTTCGAGGCCAGCCTGGTCTACAGAGTGAGCTCCAGGACAGCCAGGGCTATACAGAGAAACTCTGTCTCCAAAAACAACAACAAACAAACAAGGACAGGCCCATTTTGCCCCAGCTCACAGCAACTGATGTTGATTCACCCATGCACAGTGGTACCACATCAGTGTTCTGTTTACAGCTCTGCTGAGAATAGCTCTTTCTAGTCCTGGTCCTAGTAGCCACTCAAATATGGCTTCCACGGACATCACCCCTGGCAGAAATACCGACCAGTCCCCTCTACTGCTTTTCTGATCCTGGGGTGTTCAGATGATGTAACCTATGGGGTGTAAGCACTGTGAAGCTGGTCCTGCTCTCATCTGTCCCCGGCGTGTCTAACACAGCTCCTGGCAAAGCAGGTGGGCCACAGTGCTGATAGTTTCTCTGTGCCCTTCTGATATCCCCCTCCCTCCCTTCTCTGCCCCCTCCTTTATGGTTTTATTTTGCTTTCTTTTGAGATAGGGTCTCTCTCTCTCTCTCCAGCCTGGGTAGAACTCACTGTAAACCCATACCTCCAGCTCTTAAGGGTTGTGATTATAGGTTCAAGCAAGCCATTAGGTAAATAAAGTAAACGGTAGCTCCGGAGATGACCAGCCCGTTTTCCCCTGAAAGTCTGGATCCTGCAGTAACCTTTACCAAGTTACATCTTCCAACAGTTACACCAAAATGCTAATTAAGAAAAGAGTGTGGTATCACACAGTCTTTTATCCCTTTAATTCCAGCTCTGGGGAAACAGAAGCAAGCAGATCTTTGTGAGTTCAAGGCCAGTCTGGACTATGGAGCAACTCTGGGCCAACCAGGGCTACATAGTGTGAGACCTTCTAGGCCACAGTTTAGAAATGTCCTGACTCAAGTAATGACGTTAGCTGGGGCTTTGGGATGTTGGAGGTTTGGCATTTAAAGGCTAGGCAGATAGATAAAGGATAGGATGTAGGAAGGTTCTGGGTACTAGAAGCCCTGCTTTGAGCCTGGTAAAGTGCAGAACCTATCCTAGAAGAAAAAGCTTTGGGGCAGGGTAAGAATATTATTTTGTTACTTAAAAAATAATGTTTAGGGGCTGGAGAGATGGCTCAGAGGTTAAGAGCACTGACTGCTCTTCCGAAGGTCCTGAGTTCAATTCCCAGCAACCACATGGTGGCTCACAACCATCTGTAATGAGATCCGGCGCCCTCTTCTGGTGTGTCTGGAGACAGCTACAGTGTACTCACATACATAAAATAAATCTTTTTTAAAAAGTTAAAAAAAATAATGTTTATAGGACTGGGGAGTTGGCTCTGTGGGCAAGACGCCTGCTGTATAAACATGAGGACCTGAGTTCAAATCCCGAGAACCCAGGTAAAGCCATGGGTGTTATTCTGCATTTGTTTTGCTTTAGAAAGGTTCCCACCAGCATTGGCTGGCCTGGAACTCGAAGAGATTCACCTGCGTTAAAGGTAACAGAATGCACCATGGTTAAAGTTGAATGGCACCTGGCAGCAGCGTGCCTTTGCTATCTCAGCAGTGCCGTAGTGAGGTAGGATGAGGAGACAGGAGATTCCTCAGAGGCCAGCTAGCATAGGTAGCAGATAACAGAAAGAGATCCTGTATCAAATCAAGAGGAAGGTGAGGATGAATCCCAGAACCCATCCTCTGTGACTTCCACAAGTAAAACCATGATATGCATATACCAGAATTATTCACAGATGTGCACATGGACAGACACGTACACCCCACGTGCAGGAGTATGTTAGAGTATGTAGAACACTGCAAAATGTACAGAATACACCATGATGCTACATGATACATATATCATCTCTCTTTTCCTTCCCCCACCCCCCTCTGGCACCTGATGCATCCCTACAGTGATAAATCCTCAAGTCATGGTCACAACCCTAACAACCCTATAGCTAGTTATTGTCACTCCCATCAGCATCTAAAGTGACTGATGCAGATGGGTTTGGTGATTCTTTCTTATCCAAGGACATACACCTGGTAAAGGACAGGGGTCATATTTGAAAATCAATCAGTCCAGGCTCAAAAGCCTTTGTTTGTTTATTTGTATGAGACAGGATCTCCCTGTACATCTCAGGCTAGCCTGGAACTCTATATAGCACAGGAGGACCTTGAGCAATCTTTCTCAGCCCTGAGTGCTGGGATGATAGACATGTCACTATAGCTAGCAAAAACTAAACCCCTCACCTTCTTTTTTTTTTAAGATGCGGTCTCATTCTATAGCCCTGGCTAGCCTGAAACCCTCTCTATAGACCAGGCTGATCTTGAACTCCTGCCTCCTGAGTGCTGGAATTAAAGGCATGTACCTCCACCCCCAAGCCAAAAGCCCTAATTTATTTAGTTGTTTCTTTGAACAAGATCTCACAATGTGGCTTTGTCTGTCCTGGAACTCATTCTGTAGACAGGTTGGCCTTGAACCTGCCAGCCTTTGCCTCCCAAGACAGGTCTGCCAGCCTTTGCCTCCCAAGTGCTGGGATTAAAGGTGTGCACCACTACACCTAGCTCAAGCCCCTATTTTTAACCATTGTATTGGGCAGAGAGAAATTCATAAAAATGTCTTTTGGAAATAGTTTGGTTTCATCTCTGTTTTCCAGGATTTTCTGCTTGGAGTTCTTGTAGACACTAGTCAATGAGCTTTTTTCTATTTTATGAATATGAGTGTTTTCCCTGCACGTGTGTATGTGTGCATGTGTGCCCAGTGGCCATAGAGGCTAGGACATCAGATCTTCTCGAACTGGCATTATAGGTGATGAACACCACCATGTGGGTGCTGGAAATAAAATCTGGGTCCTCAGGAAGACCACCAGCCTGTGCTCTAACCACTGAGCAACTCCCCAGGACGGTGTAGTGACAGAATGCCAAAGACAAAGGGTTCACCCTTTTCTTTCCCCCTTTCTCAACTTCCCAGAATTGATGACCACGCCGGTTTTTCAGGCCCCCGAGACCCTGTCCCCACAAGCTGAAGAGGCCAGCACAGCGCTCATTGCAGGTAACAAAGCCAGTGTGCCAATTCAAGGGGCCTCGGAGCTAAGACCTCTTGCTCCAGAGCCAGCCTGGAACCCACCCAGTGTGACAGCTAAGATGTTCCCCATACAGGAAAAACCACATCGGGGTAACTGGGTTTATCCTGGCGGGTTTATCCTGGCATGTAGTTCTGACACATGCAGAGCTGTGAGACGCAGAGGCATGACCATAAGTGATAAGCTGGGAGTGACCATGCACAGGCACTGGTGCATGTGGCCGCTCAGCTGGGGTGTGTGGGTTGGTAGGAGGGTACATGTGGCTTGTTGAGTGGGTGAGGAAGAGCAGGGAAAACCAGAGAAGCTCTCGTAGGAAGCTATGTATTTAAAACTCCCTTCCTGTTGGCATGAGCTATTTATTTCCCTCCTCGTTTCTAGCATGATCATCAGAAACTGGTTTGGGAGGAAGTTGAATTTTGTCAGAAATCAAAACAGCATGTCTATAGCTAAGTACCAAGAGCCCCTGGATGCTGTGCCCTGGACAAGCTGTGTTTGAGGGGCACCCCTCATTACTAGGAAGTAATGACCTAATTCAGATGGCCCGATGAAATACTAAAACATCTCTCTCTCTCTCTCTCTCTCTCTCTCCCTTCCAAGTTGTTATCACCGTGGTGTTCCTTACCCTGCTCTCAGTGGTGACCTTGATCTTCTTTTACTTGTACAAGAACAAAGGCAGCTACGTCACCTATGAGCCCGCAGAAGGGGAGCCCAGCGCCATCCTCCAGATGGAGACTGACTCAGCCAAGGGCAGAGAGAAGGAAGAGTACTTCATCTAATGACCCCCAGGCTGGAGGGGCCAATTCCTGGCTCCAACACTAAGACACTGCCTCTGTAGTTAGGGAACATTTGCTCTGAAGCCAGTGAGTGGCATTGACACAGGCACATCCACTCACCTCCCAGGACACAGCCCCCAGTACTGGTGGCATCACTCACTTCAGGGTCCAGAGACACGGAGAAAGCTGCTCATGACACTGGGCCTTGGTAAGGACAGTGCTTGCAACCGGCCAACAAAGTGGGGCCATGCCTGAGTTGGAAGTGAGGTCACAGGCTGGTCCACTTTGTCCCCTCACTAGTTGACTAGTAAGAGCCCTGTGTAGCTCTCCAGTCTTCCTGGAGGCTGGATACAACAGGAAAGGGCTCAGGCCAGCGGGGATAGAGTTAGAATGTTACTGTCTTTGTTTGATCTGAGCCCCACCATTCCCCCATCAGCCTCAAGCTTACAATGTTTTTATCCAAATTAAACTTATTATGAAAGTCAGGTTTTCATTTATAAGAATTTTTCCTTGTTTTGCTTTAGCATTTTACAGCATTTTCTTTTGTTTATTTAACTCCTCTGCATGTGTCGTCTCAGTAAGAACTTGTAATGAAGTTCTATAGTTATCAGAACTGTTCAGTAGCTGGAAATGAGGACAACCCAGGAGGTTTGTTCCAGACAAGCATCACCAGAAACACATGAGAAAATAAGTGGGTTTGCTCTTAATCCTGGCAAGGGCCACAAGCTCCCAGATCCCTGTGTATATATAGACGGAGCCAAAAAAGACCTGGCTTTTGAACCCATTAGTAAAGCTCTTTTCTTTTTTCCCCTTGAGATAGGGTTTCTCTGTGCCTTATCTCCTGAGTACTGGATTACGTTTGTGTGTAGGCCACCGTCACCAGCATCATGAATCCAGAATCATCTCTAGTGGAACTCATGAGAGCAGTCAAGCCTAGCCCGACACACCTGCATTTACTTCAAAGACTATTAAAGAAACAGATCAATGGAGCACTGATTTCTGGGTGGGACGTAAAGACCTGACACATGAAGGAAGCCATCTGAGCACATGCTAAGTAAAGAATGCTGGAGTGAGGTGTAATGCAACTTCATCACTTTATTCAAATCTTCAAAATAGTCTTTATTCTACATTTTTAGTATAAAAAATCCACAAGTTAAGTGCACCACAGTGTAGAGAGACATACAACGCTGAACTTCCATAACAGTCAATGGTACAGTCAAACATCACATGTACAGAACACAAGATTTAGATGAACTGAAATATCAGATAAAATAAAATCCAATCTCGGAAAACAAATCAAAATAGTAAGGATCCCTGAAATATTAATCCTAATGAGATCTCACTGGACTCAAGTCATGTCATAGTGAGGCATTCACGTGACCCTACTAACCCACCTCAGGAAACTCCTGGGAGTGGCTGCATGAGACACTCAGGAAGTGATAGCTAGTTTTTGATCTAAAACTCCCTTAATTGGGCTTTAAAGCCAAGCTTTTGATATGCATTTTCTTCCCTGCCTGTCATTTTTAAATTTTCCTAGGACAGTTTACACTAGAACTGTTGTTTTAAGTTCAGGTTTCTGGCACCACAGCTAGTCTGGGTTCATGGTGATACAGAGATGGTTTATGAGGCGGGTCCAAAAGGTACCCTTTACCTTGCCTGGAGATATACAAAACCCGAAAAAATGGAGTCTGTGCTCGGGACACACGGGGCTTCAGAGGATCCTTATGAAAGACGAGTTAAAAAATGTCAAGTGGGACAGGTGCAGGGAGACAAGGGGCTGAGTCTGACTGGCTTTCGGTCCTGCACCACTGATTCAATGGACATCAATGGGAGGGGGTGGAGGAGTGGGGACAGGTGGGGCAGATGATGGGAAGGAAAAGGCAGACACCTAATGCGTTTCATTTAACAAGTAAGATAAATCAAAGACTTAAGGAGATTAAAGACTAATCAGAATAATTTGGCAACTTTAATTCTTAGGAAGATCAAAGTTCTCTCCAAACCTAATTTGATGTTTTATTACTAGAAGCAAAGACCAGCATGGCACAGCATCACTCCAGAGGAATTAAGGAAGAGCTTGGGGCTGCTTCTTCACTCACATTCATTTGAAGAATGGATACCTCCCTATCTCAGAATGCATTAGGGAGGGACTGCTACCCTTACATGGTTCCTTATTAAATTTGAAAAGTGCCTCAAAGTTTGGACACCAGAAAGACACCCCAAAAACATGTGTCTAAACTGCAACTTCAGGTTAATATGACTAAAGCAGTTACATTGTGAGAAGTGCTGAAGGTATATGATGTCTTCCCCGGCACAGGAGTGGCCACGGTTCCTCACCAAATGGTGTAGCCACCATCTGAGCCACCCATGAAGAAGTTTCCCTTGCGCTGAGTTACAAGGACGTTGGCTCCCTGCATGACTGCAAGCTGAGCAGCGTTGGGAGGGCATCCAGGAGGTGGAGGCTAGAAGGAAAGGACAAGGTACAGTGGGCACAGGGGAAGTAGACGCTGCGTAAGAAGGGGGCAGTGTGCCAACCAGTAACCTTTTTTTTTTTGCAGGCAGTAGGGTAGGTCAACCCAGGGTCTCACTGATAACTCTCACTTGACTGGTTTATGCTATATAGCCCAGGCTGACATGAAACTCAAAGGAAGTCTCCTGCCTCAGCCTTCCCACTGTTAAGATTATAGCATGTACTACCATACCAAGCAACCAGCATTTAAAGGAGCTAAGTCTGCAATGGCTTGAGTTCTAGAGCAAGTCTACCCTCTCTAAATCCAGGACACAAACATGAAAGGAAATCTGTCATTCACCCAGAGTTCTAGCTCTAAGATACAACCTGTAAATATCCGATCCCATCCTTCTCAGGCACTCCGACCCCACAGGAACTCTTGAGGTATGGGGTTTTATTAACTAGGGAGGGGGAGAGCCTTCTGTACATGCTAAGCAAATGCTCTACCACTGGGCTACATCTCCAGCAACTCCAGATTTTTAACATACAACACTGTTAAAAGCCAATACCATTCCCACCTGACTCTAGAATGTGACTCCTGAGAAGATGGCCTTTGCTAGAACCTTGTGGGCTACAAGCCCCATTCACAGCATCACTAAGCAGGAGGACCTGGAAATTACAATCCACTTACTAAGGACTGGGCATTCTACTTTCTTAATTACCTGGGTTCCTAGTACATTCCCCCCTCACAGCAAATATTAAATGCTTATGAACTCGGCAAGCAGCACCCCTGGACCAGTTCACTGTGCCCAAACAACTGAAAAAGGAGCTAGCAGCTAGCAGTCTTTTTAAATTTATAGACAGGGTTTCTGTGTGTCATGGAACTTGCTCTGTAGACCAGGCTGGCCTCAAACTCAGAGACCCTGTCTCTGCCCCTAAGTGCTAGGATCAAAGGCACATGCCACTATCACCTGGCTATCTACTTATTTTAATAAGACAAGAAAACAAATCAATCTGATTAACTCTAAAACCAAAGGCTGTGTCCAATGCCCTGATTGGCCCGGCCACATTTCTGCTCTGAGAGGACAGCAGCAGTGCCGGCCCTGAGCACTACTTCTCAGGGATGGTTAGAGAATGAATATGAAGTCATTTTAGACCCTTCAGGTATATAAGGTCTGAGCTCCTGGTTAGCCATACTCACAGGAATGTTCCCAGCAGTGGCACCAGCTCCAAATCTGGCACCTGCATCATAACCTCCTTCCACCAGCACTGCTGAGCCAGGTGGATAGATGGGACCAACTGGATAATAAGCCATGGGAATTGTGGAGCCTAAAGGCCCCACAGCCACAGACTGGGCCATAGGCAGGTACAGTGAGGCGCCAGGAAATGCAGCTGACATGGTGGGAACTGTGGCAGCCCCTGGATGAACAAAGCTTGGACGATAGAGCTAAAAGAAGCAGAAGAGAAGGCAAAATATTATTTTTTGTGACATTCCAATCTGAAATGTTTAAGTATTGTTGAGACCATCTCCTGTAGCTCAGGCTAGCCTTCAAGTATGTAGGAGTGGATGACCTTGAACTCCTGATTCTCTTGCCTCGACTAAGGAATTAAAAGCCTGCACTATGAAACCCAGTTCACATTGTCCTGGGGACCAAATCTAGGGCTTGGTACATGCTAAGTAAGTACTCTACCAAATCAGCTACATCCTCAGCCCCTTGTCTGGTTTTGGAAACAGGGTTTGGTGATATAGTCCAAGACAGCCTTGAACTCAGGTTCCTCCTGCCTCAGCCTCTCATGTGCTGAGACTACTAGCCTGTACCACCATGCATGGCTCATGTCCACTCTTAGTTCTTGTGTGTGCAGATAACACACTGGTTATAGTCACTGGCACACAGTAGTTTGGGTCATTTGCATCCACAGCTACTACTGTGCTCAAAGGACCCAAACTCAGCTTAACTCAGCATATGTCAGATAACATAATCAGATAATATATTCAATTCCAATGGTAACTACTGACTTATGTTTTAGATGATTAACAAAGCATCCTTCTACTTGTGAAGTCAGATTTGAAGACTTAACAAGGGGGGTGCAAGAGTGTTCTCAACTAGTTAGAAGTTTAGCAAACTGCAGCACCTCTGAGTATGCAGGTGGAGCATCAGTATAGGGTGGAGCCTGAGGAAGATGTAAGGTCTGCGGATATACTGGATTCCCAGGAGGTTGCACAGGGTAGGTGGGCTGTGTCGGATATTGACCTGGAATACAAAAGGGAGGAGACATGTTGTCTATCAAACTACAGGGGTGGCAAACTGGAAAAGTGCTCAGTGGGTAAGACGAAGTGCTGCCCTTCCAAGTCTGTTCCCAGCACCCACATCTGACAACCTCCTTTCAACCCTAGCTTCTGCCTTTGTGGACACCTACACTCCGTTCACAGACACTCAGGCAGACTCAGACAGAGGCAGGCACACTTAAAATAATAGAAACAAGTTTGTAAACAGAGCTACCAAATGGGGCAGGGGGGCATAGGGTAGTTAACTTAGTGGGAGCGAGCAGAAGAGCTGCAAATAGGTTGTCACACGGAGCCTTATTTCTTAGAGCCAAGAAGACAAGGCTTGTCTCTGCACCCTCACAATGGAAGGCGCTGTTCCCACTGGCACACCGATGGAGGAATCAAGTCTAACTCGGCCATGTTCCCTGTCAAACAGAGGTCAGCTCTGAGGACCCGTTCCTGAGGACGGCTGGTGGTGTCTTAGGGGCTTGCACTCTGGGTTGTCTCCCACGGGCTGTGCCGTAACCAGTCCGGACTCTGTGGAACCCACGGTTCTGAGTGTTTACCTCACGAGTTCCTACTCAAGGTCGACTTCCACAGAGTGAGTGAATGGTAGTTAACCGTGAGAAGGGCGGCGGGTGGGGAGGGGGGGCGAGCGCGACCGTGTTCTGACAAACATTAGCACCCGCACAGGGACGGCTAGACGTCCTGGCCCTGAGGAGCAAGCGCGGGAAGTCCACGGCAGGCGGGAAAGGGTCCCTCCAGGCCGGGAC